CGGTTTAGTCTCCTAATTAAGGTTGAACACAAGGCCCACTGGGTTATTGATCTCTGTCACAGACCCGTCTAATGTCTGGCCAGAAAAGGAGAACGCGAGAGACAGACAGACAGTCAGACAGACAATCACAGTCATGTTCCAGAGTCATGGCCTGTGCCCTTCAGACACAGCTTGCCAACATGTGACTACATTTGTCACTGTGTCTAAGTGCATCTGCCTGAATCTACACTGATTCTGCTTTTTTGTTTGTATAATGATCAAAAACAGAGGGCGGGTGGGGTGAACACCAAAGAGAAAAAGTTATTTCTGTTTTCTCGCTATTTGAAAATGACACCTATTGTTCTTGTGTCTCTTTTTTTGTTTGGAGGGGAGCCGGGGAGAGGGGCAGTATTATTTCTGTCAGATTTGGGGGTACTCTGGGGGGGCACTGTTCTGGTTGTGCTTGCCTACGTTTGATCAGGAAAATAGTGGGCTCTGATTGGACAGTTCCAGTACCCTCCTGGGAGACTCCACCCCCGCGGGAGCGTCTTCTGACAAAACGGCTCGAGCGTTTGGAAATCAGAGCATTCTCCACACGGCAGGGAAGACTGCCTTCAAAACTCACAACACAAAGCTTTAATACATAAATTTCAAGCATTGCTGATTCCTGCTCTTCCGGTCTAATCTTGTTGGTCATTTAGATTTCCTGCCTTGCCAAAATAACAACGCTGTGTTTCTTGGCTGTTGATGCTAAAACAAGCTGCGCTCAGAACAGAGGGTTCTGTGAACGCAACGTGACTCATAAAAAACACAAGAATTCAGAAATAGGTGAATATTATTTTATTATCACTATAAACATTTATTACTGGATGTAAACAACTAATTTACTGAGAAAACATTAAATTAGTTGTTGTGTATTAAAAGACCCATCAATCAGTTTAGGAGTGAGAGCAGGTTCCAGTCTTAAGATGTGACTTTTTTGGCAATAGTTCAACCGTGTCAAAATGTACTTGGTTTTGTGTGAACAGTTTTTGTGTGTGTGTGTGTGTGTGCATTTTGACAATACCTGTGTTGTCTAGCAGAATGACCATGTTGTTCCAAGCCAGGCTGTGGTCAGGTTTTAGCACTGTAGCATTCCTCCATGCGTTCAGTGCATCCACATGTCTGTTCTGGTCAGCATACTATAATGACAAGAGACAAAACAAAGTAAAACCTCTCTCAAATAGTATGTCTCCTTGTAAAAATCAACCTTGATACCAGGGGTTTTCAGACAGTTGTGACCCATTGACCATCATTCTGACTATGAAACCTAAGGACCACTGCTGTGAGGTGGATTGACAGGAGGGGATTTAAATCTAAAAGTCACCTTGGTATATATAAATCTTATGTATTTGTAAGAATTTGTTTATTCACAAAGAATAGGTAATACATGAGAATGTGCTTAATAAAATAATAATAATGATACCTGCTGTGAAACTACATTATATAATTCAAGATCAGGGGCCACCTTGCAATGCCTTCACGGCCCCATGATGGTCCACGGACCACTGGTTTAAAACTCCTGCTTTATACAGTAGATTATTTTCCATCGCTAATTTTGTTCAAACTATGGAGAAGCACTTTCCAAAACGAACCGTGAGCCTTCTTTGCATATTGTCTCTTTATTTTTTTTAAAAGCAATGTCTGCTAATCAGAGTTTACACCCTGGAGTCTCACCAAGCGACCCAGGTTATAGTAGCAGTCTGGGTATTTTTTCCGGAAGCGGATGGCGTTCCAGTAGCTCTGCTCTGCTTCCTCAAACTTCTGCAAGCTGTTCTGAACTATACCCAGATTCATCCAAGCAGCAGCAAAGTCAGGCCTGCACAGATTAAAACATACACAGGCATCAGTAGGTGCTTCTTTTCAAGTTATTCCCTGTCGGAACCAATGAAATTAAATGGTCGTCTGTGCGTTACAGAAGGATATCCCTTTGTGTCAGATGACGTACTGAATAGAAACAGCTTTAGACAAAAGCTGTTCCGCCTCGATCAGTTCATTCCTCTCTTTTAGGATATTTCCCAGGTTGTTCATGGCATGGACATAGGTAGGATGCAGCCTGAAAGCCACGGGAAACATGCAACACCAAAGTTAATTTCTTGCTCATTTACTACAACTAGACTGGATTACTAATGCTTGTGAGAAGACAAACCTGACTGCCTCTCTGTAATATCTGATGGCAGCGGTAGTGTTTCCTCTGTCAGCCAGGTTCTTACCTACATTGTAATGGACCTGCAGTCATAAACACATAACACATCAGAGAAGTGACTTCAAATGTTTGGTTGTAATTTATTTTCACATGAAAGGATTTTACTGCAAACACACAAAACATGGACCTTTACCTTGGCATTGAGTGGACAGACAGACAGGGCACTGGTGAAGAGGCTTTGCTCTGACTGCCACTGGTGACTGCGGAGGGCACAGCGAGCTACGTATACACACAACAATGCAAGCACCGACGCACACAACAGCTTCTAGAATGTGGAAGGAAAAAGAAGACATTTAACAAACATGTACTATAAGTCATTATAACCTTTGTGATTCTCTGTGACTCAGAGTTAATAGCCTGTATCTGTGTAACACGTAGACACCACCTGCTCTTATCATCCCTTTATAAGTCAATCATTAGTCATCTCTTGTGTCTGTCCCTACTCTGCATCACTGAAGCACCAAACCTGCAAACAGGTGATTAAATAAGAACTGAAAACCAGGACACCGTAGTTGTAAAATTAAGAAGGGTTTTATTTTTGCTGCAAACTATTTGTGTGTGTGTTTTTTGCATGATTTAGCCCTACCCTGTACTTGGTCCAACAGTAGCAGCAGTGTCCCAGGGAGCAGGCCAGCAGAAGGCAGTAGCCCGCCGAAGACAGGTAAAGCACTCTCTCAGCAATGACGAAGCCCACCCTGAAAAAGAGGTTACAGGCTGGCAGAAAAGGGACCACAAGCAAAACCAGACCCAAGGTCAGTGTCCTGGAAAGGGAGGAAAAAGGCCACAGATTACAAAAAACATTATATACAGGTACATGATACTTAATAATGGAAGTCTGGCACTATGGAAACGAAATTTAGCCAACTGAAGATGCTTTCTTATGAATATTAAGAAAATAACAGCAATTGAGATGTGGTGTTTTGGTAACACTGCAGTGGTTATGATACAAATTTCATAGTCAAGTGTACTTCTAGGGAGGCATGTGCTTCATGGCATCGGCAGCGAGTGTGAGATGGCTGTGCTTGCTTACCTCCTCCGCTGCCTGTCCTGTGAGCATAAGGCTTGGCTTATCAAGCCTATCAGGATGCACCAGAACAGCAGCAGCCACACCATCCTCCAATCAGTGGCTGACTTAATGAGAGGCACACAGCCCATGGACCAATCAAAACACAGCCACCAGGGACACAGCAGCAGCCAGGCATTTAGAGTGTAGTAGTAATTATAGTTCACTATCTGCCAATCAAAGGGAACGGGAGGATTGCAGAACAGGAGTCAGCAGGGAAAGACGAAAGAAGGAAAGCACTTTCATAAAAATTCACAAACGCAATCACTGTTTAAAATTGATAAAGAGCAAGTCAAAGCTAATTAGACAATAAACAAATTAAATATACTTTAATAGAGTCAGTTCATAATAAAATACATTTTAACATAGCTTTAATGATCCAGCTACATTAAATGTTGCATCAAAGATTAAATCAACTCAACAAACAAATCTTACTCACTCTAAGAAATATATTTTCTGCAAAAGAGGCAGGGTTGTCTACTTCAGTGAACGCCGGTGGTCCCGTTCCCATGATCCTCCAGCGTGCATAGAGCATTAAGAGTCCTCCAAGACCCATGAGAGCCAGTCGTGTAAGCAATCCTGATCGGAACAGCTCGCTTACCTGTCCGAAAAATATTACCACTGGTCACTGACAAATAAAAATCTGTGCCGTGTTTCCTTTATAATCCTTTTCATGCAGAAAAGGATTGGTGCTGCTGTGTGTGTGTCCACAAGCACACACCACCGAACCTGTATTTACATGCATCAGTGTTATACTGTTCATTCATGTTCACTTTGTTGTGTGTGTTAATTTAACAAGAGCTTTTGGCACTGTCTGCAGGCCCAGACAACTGTAGTAACAAATGTCAAAAAAATGAAATCCTAACTAAACTAACTACTCGCTTTGCAATCTTTCATTTGACAGGTTATATATAAGGATTATATCTTTACATTGAACTCTGATTCACTTTCTGGCCCGTGAAAGCAGATTCTGCAGTGTTTACAGTCCGCCTGCTGCTTCATCCTGAATGGGGCATTTGTTTAAATCCCACACAACACAAGTGGGTGGAGAATTGATAGTCGCTCTGTCTTAACGTGATACAGCGGTTCTGAAGTGGGGATGCAGTGTTCCAAAAACAAGTGATCCTAGAATGTGTAGCAGAAACTGGGAAAGTAACCACAGTTTTTACACATTAACATGGTTGAAGTCTGCCTAAACCTTATTTCAGAATTTGAGAGGTGGCTAAACTGTGAATGATTCTGGGACACCTGCCTCAGTTGTGCAGGTCCGGCAGCAGCTGACTGTGCAAGTGTATGAAGTGCAAGGTGCGGTGATTACATTCTGTCACGAACATCAGTGAATCCTGTCAAATTTTGCTTGCATATACAGCAGGGGAAATACGGTATGCTTGCTAGTTACTTGAAAGCTCTGTTTCATGAGCACGATGTACTAACATTTATTTTGCTATACACAGAAAATGTATGTGATGTGACATTAATCATACAAGGAAGTACATAATTTATGACAACGAGGGGGAGGGTATATAAAATGTAACTCACATCAAGTGGATTCTTCCGAAGGAGTAGCCTCTGGCCGAGTTCGTACACATTAACATTACAGATCAGGAGGACATCAAACACTGCATTTACACCCTGGGGGGAAATACACAGAGACAGAAGGAGAAATGGCATTTAAGATTTATATAGGTCAGCAACAAAATGGGTCTTTCATTCCTATCATATATGTGAAAAACACAAGACCTGTAGGTTTTTTATGTAAGCAAGGAGCAAGAGGAGATTTTTTAAAAATCTATTAGCATGTGTTCATAAAGTGTATGAGGATTTATCGTGTATCACTCATGAGGTCTCTCTTTTAAACATTGTTTCTACCTAATGTGATGAAATCATCAACTCTCTAAAGTAGGACTTTATACGAAGCCTTCATACCAAGACTGTGATGCCTTGTTCTTTACAGAGCATCGCGGCAGCACACAGCAAGAGGCTCACCACAACCCACTGGACAGAAAACCTGTCATTTCTGTCGCTCCCTGAAAACACAAACCCAAGAGCAGTTATGGACAGTGAAGGGTTAACATGTAGGTGTTCAAAGAGATGCGCTTAAAAACCAGCAGCTTCAAAATGCTTAATGCTGGCATGACACGACATCAGAACATACCATACAGCAGAGTATTACAGTGTGCACAAAGGGTAACACCTGTGTTAGATACCTACCTCTGGTGAAAGCTTTGCAGTAGGTGAGGAAAGAGAGCTGGAAGAACAGAGCACACAAAAGGTCTGCTCGACCCACTATACCAGCCACCTTATTGAGATGGAAAGAGGAAGGGAGAGGAACAGCAAGAGCATGAAGGGTGAGATGAGTAAGTCAGAAAAAACAAGGTTAACTACCAGGTATACATCAGGAAACATCATCATTTGCATTCTTCCATGAATTGTTTTATACTGTATCTTCCATATCACATTCTGTTCCACAACTGGAGGCTTATTAACAGAGGTAAAAAGAATCTCTCATTACAACTGTGGCCTATTGGTGTGTGTGTTCTATGGTACAGTATGGTTGGCATCCTGGGGCTGCCTGCTTTGATACATACAGGAGGCCTAAGCCAAGAGTCTGCCTGCCTCCCACCCCCCAGGTCTCACCCAGTCCTTACCCTGCATGATTAAAGAGAATGGAGAGGGAGAACTGCTGCCTTCCAGCCAGGCTTTACAGCAAACACACATATGCTGGGAGGTCAGTAAGCATCCAGACACAGTTAAAAGTCAGGCCATGTTACCACACAATCCTCGGCCCTGCACTACCACCTCAAACGGAGCCGCATGTTTGGTATTAAAAGCTTTGGACTGGTATGTCAAGAAGCCACGATGCAATGCTGTAGGAAACCATGCTGTGGCCTAAAGTCGCACCCAGCACATTGTCCCAGTAAGCTGTACAGGCCCAGTATGTGCCCAGTGACACCTGGGTTCAAAGCAATGTGGGGCTGACATAATTGGTGACAAGTGGTGCATCAGGGCATAGAAGGGAATAAAGCTGATCTAAACACATAAACCTGTTTTATGTTTTAGTTTGTGAATACTGGTTCCATTTCAACAAAGCTTTTGGCATACCATGAGCTCGATGAACCATGATAATTCGTTTCTCTTCACTGTCGACAACTATGATCTAATTCTCCAAATGAAGTGCTACAGTGATCACAACCTCAAATGCAATCACTAAAATAAGATGGAAAGAGAGGTGGCTTTCTGCAGTGTTGCATCTTTCAGTGGGTAATTACGCAAAAATAAAGCACTTCAGTCCAAAGTCTGTATGAACATGAATATATATGTGATTGATCATCCAGCGAAACAGACATTTGTAAATGCAGCAGTGAGAAGCAGGAAATGTTTCCATGTAGTTGCATTCAGTAATAAACATAGGTCTGTCTGCTCATTAGACGACTTCCCTCCAGTCATGCAAATGATAATCTGCTCATTAGATGACTTCCCTCCAGTCATGCAAATGATA